GAGGATACGGCGAAGATTCGTTACGCCGTGTCGTTGTTGCGAGGATCCGCCATGGATTGGTGGCGCGTCATCGTCACGAAGCCGGTGGACTACGCGACTCTGCCGACACGGGAAGGACAAACCGGACCCTGGGCGCCATCGTATTTCGTTGAGGTGCCCCAGTATCGCACGTGGGACGCGTGGTGCGCAGGTCTGCGCGCTCGTTTCGAGCCAATTGCGGCTTCGATCGCGGCGCGACAGAGGCTCCGCACTTGGCGCCAACTCGGTTCCGTCCAAGACTACACGAGCGGGTTTCTGGCGCTATGTGAGCAGGTGGGATATATGCATGAGAGCGAGCGCATCGACCGCTACATCGGCGGCTTGAAGCAGGACATCGCTCAGGAAATCCAGCTTCGCGACGTCACCGATTTTCAGGAGATTCTCGCCATGGCGGAGAAACTCGATTTCTTCCGCCGACCGAGACCGGGGTCCTACGGAAGCAGCAATTGGGGACATCGGCCTCGTGGGACGAACGAGGGCGCTACGATACGTGCCGTCGCCGCAAATGCCGCTGCCGCACCGTTCAAAGGGTGCTGCTTTGCGTGCAATCGGCCGGGACACCGCAAGAACGAATGCCCGGAAAACGCTAAGGGAAAGGGGGAAGCTGAGCAGCAGAAACAGACCAAGCAGCAGGGAAACGCTGGGAGTCACTAGCAGACGAGCCCTCTACTGACGGGTCACGCCGCTCGCCCGACCCAACCGATCCTCACCGAGTGATTGTGCCGGTTCACGCAATCGACCACACCCGACCGAATAAGGAGGGTACTACGGTAGACACCCCTATACTGCTTAGTGGGAAAATTGGGACTGACTTAGTTAAAATATTTGTAGACGAGGGAACCAGCCACAGCCTCATCAACACTGCTACAGCACGAAAATTGCGACTGCCACTGGACATATGCTTACCTGAAATCGACGCAAGACTAGTCGACGGCACGCCATTGGCGATACGGGAACGTGTGGACCGAGTTCGGATTCGATGTGGGGGTAGCTTCACGTTTAGCCAGGAAATGCTCGCAACAACCCTCGACGGAACCGATATTTTACTCGGGCGTGATTGGCTGCGACGACACAACCCGCGAATCGACTGGACGACGGGTGACTGCACTGTGCGAGTGAACGGTAACAACATCGCCTTACCTCGCTGGGGCTCGCCTGAGTCATCGTCGGTGTGTGTTAACGCGATCACGATGAAACCCGCCATAGCGGCAGGAGCTGGCGTGTACGCGGTTGACATTCGGGAAGCCGAGGCAGCAGACAAAGGAGGGGATTTACAGAAACTGCTAGCCGACGTACCGAGTGATCTGGCAGCACTGTTGAAGCAGTACAGCGACATCTTCCCGGATGACTTACCGACGGGACTGCCACCTCAGCGACCGCACGACCACAGGATAGAACTAGACCTGGGGGCACAGCCGACAGCCAGCGACAGTTCCGACTGACCCAACCCGAACTGGATGAACTGAGGAAGCAGCTGGATTACCTGCTAGTTCGTTGCCCTTCGCAGCACCGATACTGTTTACGCCGAAAAAAGACGGGGGATTTCGCATGTGCATAGATTACAGATCACTGAAAAGGGTTACCATCAAATCTAGTTACCCCATCCCGCGAGCCGACAAACTGATCGACTAACTGCGCACAGCCCGGGTATTATCGAAAATCGACCTCCGAGGAGGCTACCACCAAATCCGCGTCAACCCACCCGACTGCCCTAAAACCGCATTCCGAACACGCTACGGGTCCTTCGAATATACCGTCATGCCCTTCGGAGTGACCAACGCCCCCGCCACTTTCCAAATGACCATGAACGAAGCCTTCCGCCCGCTCTTAGATAAGTGCGTCATCGTATACCTGGACGAGATCCTGATTTGCTGCCCTGACAGAGCACGGCACTTACAGGACATCGAAGCAGTTTTTAAGATACTGAGTGAGAACCGCCTACTGACAAAAGCGTCTAAGTGTGAGTTTTTACAGGACCGACTGGAGTTTCTGGGACACATTATTTCAGCTGCAGGAGTGGAAATAGACCCGAAAAAGATCGCAACGATTCAAGCGTGGCACGCACCGACCAACTTGACCGAGTTGCAGAGTTTTCTAGGGTTCGTCAACTACGTGCACCGGTTCGTCCCCGACATGGCGAAACTGACTACCCCGTTGACTGACCTGCTGAGGAAGGGGGTTGAGTACACGTGGGGGGAGAAAGAGCAAGCTGCCTTCTCGGCCCTCAAAACTATTTTGTGCTCACCGCCCGTACTTCATATCGCAGATCCGCACCGCCCGTTCGAGCTCGTCACTGACGCTAGCGACATCGCTGTGGGAGCAGTACTGTTGCAGGACTTCGGGAACGGCCTTCAGCCAATCGCGTACGAGTCCCGCAAGCTTCACTTGCCCGAATGCAACTACCCGATACACGACCGTGAGATGCTGGCGATCGTGCATGCGTTCAAGGTGTGGCGATGTTACCTCACGGACAGACCACCGATCCCTACAGTACCTCCGTGCCCAACCGAATCTCAACCCACGACAGATCCGCTGGTTGGACTATCTGGAGTCCAATTTCCACTACACGGCCACGTACAAAAGAGGCGCATCCAACATCGCCGACGCACTCACACGCCCCACCGCCCAACTCCACGCCATCCTACTCGCCCAAACCAACCCACTGTTTACAGGCCTATTCACCCACGGATACAGTACCGACCCATTTTTCACGACCGGAAATTCACAGCAACTGGCAGAGGCCAGAGGAGTCTATTACGTAAAAACAGGCACCAACCGCATATGGGTACCCGCGTATTCACTACTGAGGGAACTGTTACTGCAGGAGGCACACGACGGGATTACCTCGGGACATTTCGGGGTAGAAGAAACGCGACAGCAACTGCAGGGGTATTACTACTGGCCGGAGCTGTTGACCGACGTACAGCACCACATGGGGTCGTGTCCTACGTGTCAGGTGATGAAGAGCTCACGAAAAAGAAAGGCGGGTCAATTGCAGCCGATTCCACCGCCTGAGCGCGCCTGGCAGCAGGTTACTATGGATTTTGTCACAGGGTTACCTTCGAACCCTGGAGGTAACGACGCGGTTATGGTCGTCGTTGACACGTTGACAAAGATGGCACACTTTGCTGCGTGCAAGAAATCGATCTCGGCCGAAGAAACCGCTCGCATGTTCATCACAGCCGTCATTCGACTGCACGGGATACCAGCTGCAATAATTAGCGACCGCGACACGAAGTTCACCAGCAACTTCTGGAAGAACCTCTGGGAGCAATTCGGGACAAGGCTAAAGTTCAGCTTGTCGTACCACCCTGAGACCGACGGTCAAACGGAGCGGACGAATCAGACGATGGAGCAGTTGATTCGTGCCACGTGCGACGACCCAACCATTTGGGAGCAGCAGCTGCCGCTGATCGAGTTCGCGCACAACAACGCCACGTCAGCGACGACGCAGCAGTCCCCCTTCTATCTGAACTACGGGCAAAACCCTACAGTGCCCATGACGCCGAGTCCGGACAACCCAACGCCACGTGCACAGCGATTCGCCGAAATTCTGCAAGCTGCCCGCACCAGAGCCGCAGAAGCAATTAAATAAGCCAACGTCATCGCTAAGCGCAATGCTGACCGCCACCGCCGCCCAGTCACGTACCAGTCAGGAGATTACGTACTGCTCGACACACAAAACAGTACCGAAATTACGACCCCGCTACTGTGGACCATTCCAAATCAGCCACATGATTACCCCAGTAAGAGCTCATCTACTGTTGCCGGCAGGCTGGTACATTAGCCCTTCGTTCCACGTCAGCTTGCTTCGCCCATACATCCCAACCACAAGCCAACTGCCTCGCCACCGCCCGCCATCCATGACTCGCCCTGCATCAGAGTCGATCATCGAGCCCGAAAAAATCATGAGCCATCAGATTCGACACCCCACGGGAATCAGGAGGATTGAATTCCTCGTTCGCTGGAAGGATCGCATGCCAACTAAGGACAGCTGGGTGCTCCTGGCAAATATAAAAAACCACCCTGCCCTGCAAGTGTACCTGAGGAGCCGGGGCTTCCGCGATATACACGCACTCGCGTAGCGGAGGGGGCTTTTTGAGGGGGGGGGGGGGGGGGGGGGGGGGGTAGTGTAAGGGATTTTCTCGATATTCCTTAGCGTACCTTGCAAAATCGCGTACAGCAGCAGCCGTTGTTCGCCCGTTACTGTTAACGGGGCTTCACCGACTTCGCGCGCACTGTTTTACCTAACCTCCCACTGCTGGCCTGGCCGTGTCGGCCTACACTTCGGGACTAACCCGAGCCTCGCTTCCAGCGTAGCACTAGCTAGCTCGCACGCACCACGTTACCGTTTGCATGTTTCGCGTATAAATGTTCGCTCATGCCTTCGCTCACATTTTGTACTCGTTTGACACCTTAGTGCAATTCTCGCTACTTCGATTCATTGCACCCGTACCAGTGTCCCACCCAAGATGTTTTCTGTTATTGGAAATCATGATACCAGTGTAATCCTGTGGGTGTGGATGATGTGCACAATATACTAGCTTCAGTCAATGGTATAGACAGCCCAACTGACTAACAGCACATATTATAATAGCTCCTCCTATATACCGCAACTCCCAAAATTCCCAACATCAGCCCAGACACACATACCAGCCTGCATTCTACAGTGCAAAGCGAGGAACAGTACCATCCCTCTACAACTAGCACAAGCACTGTTTGGATACCTGTAACACTAGCAAATATTATCTACACCCCCATGTCACTTCAACTTTCATCCCTAACCTAAACACACAACACTGCATTTCTCCACTTTTACCCACCCCATACACCTCCACTCGGTCACCCAGTCTCCACCCCCTGATTCTTGTCTCACTTAACCTTCTGAGCCGCCTGAAACAACAGGACAACAAATAAGGCCCACAAACAGGGCCATAAATTCTCTGGATCATGATTCGTTATCAAATCTCCACATCAGTGGTGGTGGGGTGCCAAGCTGACGTGGTGGGTTGCCATCTGGCAGGCATCGAGAACAGCACCAATCCTCCCGTCTTCATCTCCTCCTCCCCCTCCCCCATCTCCACCTCCCCTGCCCCTCTCCCACTGCTCCCTGCACCACTACCCACCCTCTCACTCCCCGCCCCCATGCTACCCCACCCTGCCCCTCTCCATCCATTATCACCCCCGCTCCAGTTCCTAACCCTCTCCCACACACCGTGCCCTCCCCACGACCCTCCCCAGTCGTTCCCTTGCATGCCTCCTTCCCATGCACCCCCTCCCCCACCTGCTGCCCCTGCTTCCTCATCCCCACCCCCAACAGCCTCGCCTCTCACCCCTCCTCCACTTCCGCTCAAGCCAGAAGCCATAACAGAATCTATAGTGCGGGATTGCTGACATAGAGAGCAGCTGGTACAGCAGAACATCACGCAGAAATCTTCCGCTCCCGAACCTCGGATTCCGAGCCTCCGCCGAACGTCCGCGCGCCATTTCCCGAGCCAGAAAGAAAACCCGATGATCGCACCCCACATTGCCACACTCTGCAAGAACAACGCCCAGCCGGAAATCTGAAGCTTCCCCTCCGCATCCTGCCACCCTCCCCCGACAATCTGAAAGAAAAACGTCACAAACCCCACGAGAAGAAACAGCACGAGAAACTGCACACCGGCTCTAACCCCGTCGCCTAGCCGAGCGCGATTCACAATCCTTGCGAAGGTGATGCAGGGGAGAACGGCGGTGATGGCGCAGAGAGGCAGTGTGTCGTGGTACCAGCACTGGCACAGCCCGCCTTCCCAGTCGCGTGTGTGGTTGTCATCTTTGAACTTGAGGCGCACCACGTGGTCGTCTGACTCGCCGTCGTTGCCGTCCCCTGATACGTCTTCTAAGCTCCTCGTGATGTCAATGCCGCTCATGGTCTGTGGAGGGGTATGAGTGGTGGGGGGGGGAGGAAAGTGGTGAGGCGAAAGGGGAGAGGTAGCAGATGGTTTTGACCTGTTGCTGATATAATGCCAGTTGCGGTTTGTGGTGGGGACGGAGAAGGGGGAAGAGGGGAGAGGAGAGAAGAGGGAAGAGACGAGAGTGGAGAGGGGAGGAGGAGAGGGGAGAGGCAAGAGGGGAGAAGGGAGAGTTAGCAGATGCTTTTCTGCCTGCAGGTTATTTTGATGTCAAGTACCTGTCTGTGGTGGGGACGGAGAGGGAAAGGGGAAACAGAAGGGAGAACGAAAGGGGAAAGAATCGGATGATGTGTGGAATGAGGAAAGGGCCGTTCATGTGATGCTCGTGATGACAATCCATTATTCAATTAAGACACAGACGCGGCTCTATTCTTCTCGTTTCATCAGTGACAGCCGTGGTCTGCCCTGCAATTGGAAGAAAGGAGAGAAGGGAGAGGGAACGGATACGCCCTGGCTGAAAGTGATGCCAATGCCGGAACTTGAGGAGCCTCAAAATGCGTCGTATCTGCTATTGATGTAAATGCGGGTCAAGGACTGCAGCAGGGAGGGAGGGAGAAAGCAAGGGGACGCGGAAAGGAGAGACATGGGATAGAAGAAGAATAGTGTCAGGAGAAAAAGGCGGGAGGAGGAAAGGGAGGACAGAAAAATACGGAGAGGAGAAGCACGAGGAGGACGGCAGGATGGGGGGGATGTGCTGAAAAGTATTGATAATGTCTGAGGAGTTAATCGCTAATGCTTGACAGAAGGAAGGAACGGAAGGGAACAGCAGACTAGAAGTCAGGCAAGAAAACAACGGCGACTAATGCCGACGGGAATCACTGTCAAAACAAGCCGATTCGGGCTCAATATTTTTTTAGCTATGCTCGCATTCTACGAGATCAGTATACCATGGGATACTCTGGCGCTATGAGGCTTGTCCTTTCCCCTTCAGCCACTGCTGCAGCCGCAGCAGCAGCAGCCGACGACGCGGTAGCGGCTGCGATGGCCTCCGCCGCTGCCGCTGCCGCAGCTGGCGACCTGTCGTCGATGGTCGCTTTCGTCGCCGGTTCGTCGCGGATCTCATCGTCGCCATCGCCGTCGTCGTCGCGACGGTGACCACTCTCGTCGTTTATCGACACGGTTTCGAATTCCTCGTCTAGAGTTCCTTCCGAGACCTCCGCTGGTTCTCCGACGAGCGGCGCCTGCGCCTGCTGCTGTTGGTGTAATGGCGGAGACATAGATCCAGAAGTAGACTCTTCCTCCGTTACCTTGCCAACGATCACCATGTCATCAAGTATGTCTGACATGGCTCCTTGCTTCGGACCATACACTCGCCAGCAAGAATGCTTGGTTGCTAACGCAACGTGAATCTGGCTTGGAAGTGAAATGAGGAGGGCACTTCAGTTTGTCTGACGTTGTACGAGCTTGGAAACTGGGGAGTCGGCAGACAACGCGAACGCGAGTAACCATTCGACTTGCTAAATGGCAACTAAGGCTTGTGGGACGATCCAAGAGACTGGACGTGAGCTGTCAGTCTGTCCGCATGATGCCATACATTGGACAGGTGATGCCCTAGAATTGCCGGTGTAATACTGGATAATGGTTTGACAGAGCCTTCTCAACTGCTATTGCAATGGTTCGACTGTTAAAACAAAAGAGGTTGCTAGGAGATTATAAAGACTCACCATGAACCATACAAGTAGGCAACATGATTCTTGCTTCTTGTATTTTCACGATTAACCATCCTGATATGGCTACTAGAGTACCTAGGCAATGAAAAAAGCCACGAAGTATCTGAGGCAATGAGAAAATGATTCTAACTCCACACAAACAGAACTGCTAACCTAAACTGAGGTTGCAGAATCGATGCTCTTCCGGAAACCAAACCGCTAATATCCAGTTCCTCCAGTCCCCTGATTACAGCCGTAGCGCAGCCTGAGCGTTTGGAGTAGGTGCGGAAACCTTGAAGCACTCAAGACTCCCGATATTGCCATGAACACTCAAATATGCACCGATACCAGCCGGGGGGTCACACAAAGCATCGCTCCTTGGAAATATCCCAAGGCCGTTCAGATCCGATCCACCTTATCAGCCTTCACGACGGGATTTGCTTTAGCAATCAAAGCACGGCCTGCCGTTTTGTAATCGAAGTTGCACTCGTGTCGATCGGAGTAACGATGCGCCGAGCAGAAAACACCGTCGCAGCGACACTTAAAACCGGTGAGACCCACGCGACGGTTGCACTTGCCGCAACGGTTCACTGGACGAGGAGGCGAGCAGTGCGAAGACACAGCTGAAGAGGCGGCGGATCCTCCTGCAGCGGCAGCGGCAGCAGATGACGCCGCTCCAGAACACCCAGATCGTGCTGCTCCAGGAACAGCAAGCGATGTGTAGGTAGTGGAAGACGGTGTGCCCAGAGAAGGTAACGAGCTTGACTCTCCGAGACTCTCGGTGGTGCGAACCGAAGACGCGTCCATAGCAGAAGACGACGCTTGATGAACAGATGTTGTTTGGGGAGCAGAAGATCTGAGGGATGGTTCAGGGACAGCCGTGGCTGATGCCGAGATTTGAGGAGTGGAAGAAGGCGGTGCTGCGGCTGTTGCTGCTGTTTGCATGGTTTTAGCTATATGTGCGGTGTAACACTTGGAGCACATGTTCAGGGTGGTGGCACTGCCAAAGAAACCGCAGTTGTTCGCACATAAGATGCCACGGTCGGACTGCTGGCAGCCGGCAGACCCCTGCTCCCTGTTCCACCCGTCCTGGGCCATGGGATAATGACTTCACAACGCGAAAACTAAGCTTAATCACAGAAGGTAAACAGCTAGTGCAGATCTAAGATAAGAGCCAAACGCCAACACCGGAAATGTGCGAGATCTGGGAGGAGAATGCCTACTAGAGTAATATGATTTTGCTGGAAAGCGCAACCAACCGAGGGAATATAAAGCAGAGGCTGATGAAAGGTGAGCAAGGTGATGGGGGTGGTGCACCCACCCACACGCAAGCCTAGCAACAACGGAGGACCCTTCAGCCAACTGAAACGCGCAACCGACCGAAGCAACTAGTGCTGCCAAGTGCACAGTACACACAGCACGAAGGAACGAAGGTTGCAGAAAAATGTGGTAGGTTCGGCGGAGGTTGATGTGAAGGGCAGTTCTGGTTCGGTGTCTCGGTTCGGAAACGTTGGTGGGTTGGATTGGGGTGAACGCGGCGGAGGGAAGTTGGGGAAGGCAGGTCGAGGAACTTGGTGGGGTGGAGACAATCGGTGGTTAGGTTTCCGTTCAATGGCAGGGTGTGGTGTGGAGGAAGGTGAAGGCGACGCGGTGAGGGTTGTTGGATTTGCGTGCGATGGGTGGGTGATGTTGATGTGATGTGATGCAACGGCCAAGGCGAGAGGATGGATGCGATGATTTGATCCGAGGATGATGGGTTTGGATGGATGGGATGGAGGCAGATGGAATGCCTTCACTCGACCAGAAACACAAGGCTATCAACAAATGAATGTACGTACAGTACAATCCAGCTACTGTGTCATGGTGGCTGTGGTTCGGTTCGGACTTACGGAATGACATGTCTAAAATTCTGGGCTCCAGCAAAGACAGCCTTCATTTGTGAGGGTGGATCAAATTCACTTGAAAGAACTAAGGTTCCCGTAAATGAAGGCGCTAGTCAGGGAGTGTGCGAGAGAAACCGGGCATCGGCCTGATCACCATCATGCAAAACACAAGTACGACCTTGGCAATTATCCAGCTTTCCGTAAGCTCGTTGTGGTGGCTGTGCTGATTCCGAAGGCCTTGGACGTCGGATATCGGATGGGTGGACGTTATCGGAAGTTGGAACGGGTTTTGAGCAAGGGAGAATGCAGAGATGGAGACACGGTGCGGGGACGTGGATCGCAACGGGAGTCCCTGCGATTCGTTCATTTTCCTCTCGAGCTCACCTTTCTCGCAATTGCTGATTGGTGGTAGCCAGGACGACTGCGTAGGAGGAATATGATTTGCAGGAGCGCTGAAAGCCCGGCTCCACGCGGCATCACTCTCGGTTGCTGTTAACACGTGTAATGCCAGTTCGTTTTGCCCCACTCAACCAAGACCACCAGGCCGCCTCGTGTTGGCAGAAATGCTCCCAAGATTGTGAGGCGAAGTGAGATGTACAGAACAGCTTCAAGCCGTCGACGCTGACTTCTACTGTAGCACCGTCGCAAGGCCTTCCTCGAAACTACTTGCGATTCTTGGTGACGACAAAGCGCCAACAGTTGCTGAGTTTCTGGTGACACCAATTGGGATTCGGGGCAATTTGTCTGAGTTTCCGGTGCTGCTCCTATCGAGTCTCCCGTTGTTGTGCCCTTCCACTTCTTTATAAGCGTGTTCGAGGTACTGCACCAGCTCGACGTCGAAGTATGTCGGTGAATCGTGACGGTTGAAACCGTAGATCCGAGGGTTGAAATTCACCGACATCCCTCCACGTCGAGGAATGCAGTACTTCGAACACGGTTTTAGTATTTGCTGTATCATTGTTACGATCGCCGCTAGCAAAAAAGAACACATAAAACCAAAACGGCATAACAGAAATTCCATAACGAGGATCCATGCCCCGCAGGCGCGGTCATGCTGCTTTTCTTTGCAAAACTCCCCACACCCAGCTGGTGTTAGCGTCGTCAAGATCCATGAACCGTAGAAGTTATCTCCAAGTTGCTGGGGTGCTTCCTCGATCGGATGGTGCTGGTGAATCCACTTACCACGTGGACGACTTTCAGGACTCCACGGGGACTCTTTCAGGGCTGCTCGTGTGAACTGCGGGGCCAAGAGAAGTGGTGTGAATATCCTTATGGTGACGTGGCGATGACCCCAGTTCACCCCCATTATGCAGTTGAAGAATTCGGAAATAACCCTTTGTGGAAGGTGTGGACTCGAACGCAGGAAATGTCTGAATTCGGATCAAACGCTGGTTACTATTTCACCGAGTCCTGAAAGCATATTGCATTGGCGTTCCAGCAGTCTTGACGTACGGAAATTAGTTAAACATCATGAACACTGACTAAATTACAGGAAAATCTTGAGTTTCTGTCTAAATGGCGAACATAGATTCGGTCACAAATGTTTGCCCCATGCCATGGTGATGGAGGGTGCGTGGAGCATATCCCGTGCTCAGAATCTTTATTCCTGTAATGCTCGCAGTCATAAAATGGCACAGTTATTGAACTAATCTCCACCACCCTCAATTGACCACTGGCCCGCAAGACCCGACCTTGCAATCTTGAACATCTCCCCGTAAGACTCCCGTTCTTCCACGTTTCCCTAAAACACAACCACCCAGAGTCCATTCACCTAGCGCGATCCCGCTTAAAATACCACGAGGCTACCAATGGAGGCGTCGTGTCGGCCAGCAATCCTCAGAAGTCCCGCCGCGTCGTCCCTGTCAACAGTAGCTCGACATGTGTCCTCACCGTCCTTCTTCCCCTCATATTCCGCGACTACCTCTCTTCACACTCCTCCATTCTTAGGTGCCGGTGCCTCCTGTAACCCACGTATACAGGCACTGGGTGCTTCTTCCGCTGCGCCTTGCGCTGCGACTCTTAGCATCGCTCAGTCAGAGATCAACGGCTCACGGCTGTTTTCAAGAGGCTCCAATGCAATCACTCCCGCTGCCGCCTCTCACTCTAGACATCGCCTCCCGCGATGGCGACGTGGTGGTAACCAGCTCGCCCGCGTTACTGTTACAGCAGCGGCTGCAGCAGAAGGCGGGTCCGGAGGAGGGGAAATGGAAAATGCAGGAGTTAGCAGCAGCAGCGGTAGCAGCAGCGGCGATAGCAGCAGCGGGAGCACGGGAGCAGGAGGGCTTGGCAGCAGCAGCAGCAGTAGCAGCAACGTTGGTAGTGGTGGCGTGTCGAGCAGGAGTGAGATTAGCGGTCGAGAAGCGGGCTCTGCGGCGACTGATGTGCAACAACGAGAGGAGCAGCAGCAGATAGAGGAGATCCTCGCGGTCTTGGAACAGCAGCTTAAAGACGCGACTGCGGAGGAGGTGAGATTTTATGATGCTGATGCTGCTCCCTCTCACGTTATCTTTCCTTTGTCCCCCTCGGTTTCCCCTTCGTTTCTCCCGGTCTCCCCGTTTCTCCGACTCCACGCCTCCCCGTCTCCCGGTTTCCCGGCGCTTCATCCCTTACTACCGGCAGAATTACCGCGAAGCGGCTCGTTTGAGGGACGCGATTCGGGAAGTGAAAGCGCGGGATCCGGTGCGACGACTGCAGCAGCAGCTGGAAGCCGCGATCGCCGGGGAGCGGTACGAGGTGAGACCCGATATGATCTGAGATATGACGTAACACGGGATTCGATCTACTCTGGCAAGATGCGGATGAATCGCGTCAGAAACACACACATAAAAAAAAACCTCCCAAAAAAATTATATGTCCTAGAGTAAGGAGCGACTGTACGAAGCCGCAGTGGCGAGTGGAGGGTAGATGGGTTGCTAGGTAAACAGAACCAGAACAGACGTGAAGAGCCAAGCCATGCCTTCAATATTCAACCGTCCATTGCGCCAATGCCGCATTTCCATTCCCGTCTACCCCTTCGCTTTCATCCACCCCTTCGCTCCTCACCGCCCTTCCCCTCCGATCTCTCAGCTCCCCTTCCGCCTACCGACTCTCCGAGAAGTCCCGCTTGTTCAGCTCATTCCCCCTATTGTTTCTTCTTACCGTGCGCCTGTCCGCGCGCCCCTCACCCCCGTGTGGCTCCCCGCGCGCCATCAGGAGGCGGCGACGCTCAAGGAGGAGCTTGCGCGAATCGCCCCGCCCCCGCCTCCCGCGCCCGCCCTCCCCGCTTCTTCCTGCACCAGCGACACTCTCACTGAGGTGCGATTTTCTTTGCGCCTAGAGAAGTGGGATAACGAAAAGCATAACAACCCACACGCACGCGCGCACGCTAAACGCGCCTCCTCTTCTCATCAGAAATTCCCGCTACACCCAGCCTGCACGACACGCTCACCCTCGCCCTTGCAGGTTGACACCCTCACTGGGGTGTGGGCGGAACCAGCTACCCTCTGCATTTCCATTCCATGTGTCCAGGCCAAGTATAGAGGAGCAGTTTTCAGCTGCACGAGTGATAATTTATTCAGCCTAGAGTATAGACTGTGCTATCTGCCTGCACGGCGTTACCACTCTCAGCCCCCATCCGCGTAGCCCTTTTCACTGCGGCACTCTCTATACCTGCGCCCATTCCCCCTTCACTTCCCGCCACCCGTTCCCCATCATTCCCCCGTTCTCCAAGGGTATGTGATCCCTTTTCCGAGCCATCTCATGTGTAACATCAACTCCCAGAAAGTTCAGCATCGCTGTGACCCTATCTGGTTCCTCCTTTATCCCTCTCCGCCACACCTTCCCCCCTCCCTCCCCCTCCTTTTCATGCTTTCTCCCCCACTTCCCCCTCCTTCTTTCGCGCCCCAGGGAGTGCGAGTGGTGGTGCGCAGTGTGTATGTGCGGCACCGCAGTGACCCCGAACGCTCGCACTTCTTCTTTGCATACCGCGTGCGCATCACCAACGAGGGCTCTCGCGTCGTGCGCCTCGTCAGCCGCCACTGGCTCATCACCAACGGCAAGGGGCGCGTGGAGCATGTCAGGTGGGCATGAGTGTGTGTATGGGGAAGGGATGGGTGCTCTTCTCTCTGTATTGGAATGGGATGCACCAACGGTTCTCGTCAGCCGCCACTGGCTCATCACCTTCGCAAGGGGTGCGTGGAGCACGTCAGGCGGGTGGGGGAGCATCAGGAGGGTGAGGGGGGGATGGGGAGGAGGCTGGGCGGGAGCAGGCATGTAGGACGTCTGATGGGCGCATGCGGTATTGATGTGGGCGCATGCGGTATTGATGTGGGCGCTAGCGCATGCATGGAGGGTGGCATGATGTGTTCATAAGGGTGGCAAAATCGCACATCAGGTGCCGGCTAACACGTCAGGTGGCACCCTTGTGGCAAATGCCTTGTGGCAAATGCCTTTTGGCAACACGTTCAGGTGAATTGTATGTTGATGTGTAAATCTGCATCTTCCCCTTTTGGATTCACCTCTTGACATGGGAATGCGATTCAACAGATCGTATTTTAGAGTTCTGAGTGGCAGGGCAGCTGCCAGTGCTACCAGTGCTGCCAGTGCTGCCAGTGCTGCCAGTACTGCCAGTGCTGCCAGTGCTGCCAGTGCTGTCTGCGATGTGATCTGGTAGTAGGCCATGTGTGATTAGACTCTGTCCTCCGTCAACCTCCTCTCCCCTCCCCCATGAACCCTCCCACTTCTCCCCTGGCCTCGTCCCACCTGCCTTCCTGCACCCGTCCTCGCATCATGCAGGGGCCCTGGAGTGGTGGGACAGCAGCCAGTGCTGCCACCAGGGGCATCATTTGAGTACACGTCTGTCTGCCCTCTAGACACTCGCAACGGAGCTATGGTAACCACCCTCCCCTCCCCCACCACCCACCCAACCCCCCCCCCCCCCACCAACACCACCACAGCCGCCACCGCCACCACCACCACCACCACCACCACCACCACCACCCCCCCCTCACCCCCGCTGCTGCCCGCGCCCGCCGCCTCTCCTTGCTGCCTCCGCATGCCCTGCCAATGCTCCTCTCTGCTCACCTGGGTTCCATCATTGGCTTTACTGTCCTTTACACGTGTTTTCACACACCCATGCATCCATATCTTTCTCATGGTGAAATGAATGGACGTTGTTCACTTGGTGTGATTTGGGTTGCTGTATGTGGCTAACTTGTGTGTGGTGTTGCTTGCTTGCTTGCTTGCATGCTTACAGGAAGGCGAGTTTGAGATGATGGACGTTGCAACATCAGCTGCTTTTGAAGTCAAGATAGGCGCGTTCGCCCTTGACGTGGATCAGGATGGCTTCTGATCGGCAGAATACGTACAGTACAGTACACCTACCGGTATTCTTGTCACACCTCTTAGGTGACATACATTATTTGCTTGTGCATGTGCTAATGTTCAATTCTCCTGTGCTGCCGCAACGAGTCACTGTAATGCCACTCAGCCAAAACACACTCAATCAGCACCTGCTACAACACCATACGAAGAGCGGGCCACACAAGGCCTCAGATTTCAGGAATTCTACCCTGATTTCCTGAAGTTTTACCCCTTTTTTTTATTGTGACCCTGATCTATCAGCCTTTTTTTATTTTCACCTCTGATGAATCAGTGTTTTTTATTTTCGAAGACTGATTCTCCAGTGTTTTCTGTTAGACAACCAAAAACTCCGTGATTCTTGTTGTTTTGCGCACCTCATCATTCATGTACCCACCCTGCACCGACGCTACTCTGCGCCTCGCCCAGTTACCGTCATCGCCCGGATATAAGACAGTGTTGAATAGTAGACAGGGGTTGTCTATTATACGGGTGTCTCTTATAAACAGGCTAGCCTTTTTATACGACACCTACCGTATTTGTGTGTATGAGATACCGTAAGACATATGTGTCTTATAATCGAAACTGCAATGTGTTATGGTGAAAAATGAACTACCGCGTACAATTTTACACTTGCGACACGCGAATCCTGCCACGTGCTGACTCACGTACTACCAAATCTGCCTCTGCAAGTATTCGGGATGATGTGGCGTCCCGAACAATGGTTGCCGAAGTGGCACCTTCGCAACATCCACACTCTTAATGAGAAACTCTTTTCAAGATGCGTGAAAAGATTTCTAAGTAGTTTTAAAAAGTTTCCATTTATAAGACTTATAAGACACCCAAAACCTCCCCAAATACAAGATAACCCAAGCATATTTTTTAGTGTATGAGATAAGACATTTATGTCTTATATCCGGGCGATGACGGGTACAGCTGATCGGGGTAATTTAGGGCACAGTTGGCAAAACGGCGCAAAGAGATTGGCTGTCCAAGCTGATGGAATGTACCGTTGTCACTGAGGATAACCATCAGTTGTCATTTCTGGCCTTGAATGCGCACAAACACGCCTAGTGGCCCAGTGGACTAGTCCTTGTCCTTTTCACCAAGCCAGGGCGTGCTGGGGCAGTCCGCTCAGTCACCCCACACAAGGGGTCTCGTGATTCTCTCATTCTAGCTCTCCAGACTCCATCCCTCTCGGAAACATCCCTCTCTGCAGTCTCTCGGAAACATCCCTCTCTGCAGTCTCTCTGAAACCATCTCAGCAATCTCTCTCTCTCTCTCTCTCTCTCTCTCTCTCTCTCTCTCTCTCTCTCTCTCTCTCTCTCTCTCTCTCTCTCGCTCTCTCTCTCTCTCTCTCTCTCTCTCTCTCTCTCTCTCTCTCTCTCTCTCTCTCTCTCTCTCTCTCTCTCTCTCTCTCTCTCTCTATATACTACTCTGCGATTCAGGAAGTTGGAGTGAAGGCACCATGGCGATCACCGGTGAGAACAGCACCGGTGATGAAGACGACGATGCCCTTAACGCCGCCACCGAGATGCGGGAGGCCAAAACAGGACTAGACTTTCTAGTCTCCGTGCTCTCCCATGAAAAAGAGAAGCAAGCTCCCCTCACTTCAGGAGCATACACTGGTGAAGCGTCTGACCTCTGCCGCGGCGACGATCGCCCCCAGCCCGCGCGTACTGCTCAGCCGGTCGTGGCGTCAGCAGCTGGCCCGAGCGTCCACTTGCCATCTCGTACCTCGTCGTCGAAGCCTCCGCCTCGTTACAAGCAGGACGTGCTCCGCTGGGCCGATCCAACAGCTCGTGACCGTGCTCTCGCTAATGCCGGCGAGTCGGTAAGCCATGTTATGGCCACTCCCTCCAAGTCAAAAAAACCGTCACTAACCGCTATGATTTACGAGGATGCATTGGACTCGTTCAAGTCCACGTGGTCGACAGACTACCCATGGCTCGTACTCATCAAAAACACTTCTAGCATGCCTGCGTTCAAGTGCAGATTGTGCATGGACTTTGCAGGTGACGGGGGCAAGTGTGGCAAGAGTGGGCATGGTGCAACCGATCTTCAGACCCAAGCCTTCAAGCGGCATGCCGCAACGAACAAGCACCAGTTGGCCATCGAGCACCAGATGAAGATGCTAGCTCAGGCTGGGAAGTAGTCGCGGATTGACCAGCATCCGCTCGCCAGGGATGACGAGACGACCCGCATCATCGCCCTCCTAAACTCCCTTCACTTCACAACCCAGAACCACCTGCCGATGGAGACGTGGGTGAGCCTCATTCGGTACATGGCTAAAAACGAAGTGCCCGACTTCCCCAAAAAGGGATACGGCACTTATTACACCACGTAAGTTCTTGGTATTCCATCCGCGCATGCAGTGAAGTGCCTCTCATGTTAACAACCACATAACTGTAATAAATGTTTCATGTGTCTCTACAGGTACGGCTTCGGGGAACTCACACGGGCAACTGCAGTGTGGCTGCAGACCACACAACTGGAGCACATTCTAAGAAGCCATTACATCAGCCTCAGCTGCGACATTCTACGGACGGATGCCGTGGGAAGCATTGTCAAACTCTTATGCTATAGTCTGTGTAGGCTATAGCGGGGTAGACAATATGGGGTACAATACTTCTAGGTTTTCCTACTTGTACCCACCTGCTTGCTAGTTCATTCATTCCTCATTCTTCACATGGTATAGAGCAGGTTCCCTAGTGGGAACGCTACCTTGGGCCCACCACTGAAAACTTCCCTTCTGACCGGAGCGCCAATCGCTCCTGCCCGAGGCTCGCTTTTTTTTTGCCGCCCTTTCCAGGCCCCTAGTGGCCCCTAGCGGCCTCGTCATCGCCCCTCACGCGGCCCCGTTACCGCCCCTAAGCGGCCCCGTCGCCGCCCTTAGCAGCCCGGTCGCCGCCCCTAGCGGCCCCGTCGCCGCCTCTCACCCTACGCGGCCCCGTCGCCGCCCCTAGCAGCCCCGTCGCCGCCCCTCCGCGGCCCCGTCGCCGCCCTTAGCGGCCCCGTCGCCGCCCCTAGCGGCCCCGTCGCCGCCTCTCACCCTACGCGGCCCCGTCGCCGCCCCTAGCGGCCCCGTCGCCGCCCCTCCGCGGCCCCGTCGCCGCCCTTAGCGGCCCCGTCGCCGCCCCTAGCGGCCCCGTCGCCGCCTCTCACCCTACGCGGCCCCGTCGCCGCCCCTCCGCGGCCCCGTCGCCGCCCTTAGTGGCCCCGTTGCCGCCCCTAGCGGCCCCGTCGTCGCCCCTCACCCTACGCGGCCCCGTCACCGCCCATACGCAGCCCCGTCGCCGCGCCTAGCGGCCCCGTCGCCGCCCATGCTGACCCCGTCGCCGCCTCTCACCCTAAGCGGCCCCGTCGCCGCACCTAAGCGGCCCCATCGCCGACCCTAAACGGCCCCAAGCCGCCCCTACCGAGCTGCCCAGCAGCAGAGCCGCCGAGCCGCCTAGCAGCAGAACAGCCGAGCCGCCCAGCAGCAGAGCCGCCGAGCCGCCCAGCCGCCGAGCCGCCCGACAGCCGAGCCGCCCAGTAGCAAAGCCGCTGAGCCGCCCAGCCGCCGAGCCGCCCGACAGCCTAGCCGCCCAACAGCCGAGCCGCCAAGCAGCCCAGTAGCTGAGCCGCCGAGCCGCCCTGCCGTCAAGCTGCTACCATTCCTACCGGCGCGCCCCGGCCCTCCTTACCTGAACTGGTGAGCTCACTCTTTGCTAGACCTCTGCTGTCATGGCTACCCCCAGAATTCTTACCTTTGACACTGAGGGTCGTGCTGTTGACTTTGAGGTCTGGATCGATGACCTCCTGCTTTTCCTCCAGTGCGATAGGGCAGACGGCGTCTCTCTGTCCGACCTCACCTCTGGTGCCTCCCCTGCCCCGCCTGCTACTGCTGACAGCACTGTTCGCTCACAGTGGGCGACACGCGATGCTGCTGCCCGTCTTGCTGTGCGTCGCCACTTAGCAACCACTGAGCGTGCACACTTTAGCCAGTACAAGAGTGCTCAGACCTTGTACGACGCTGTAGTTGCACGCTACTCTTCCCTGCCACTACTGCACTGAGCCGTCTCATGCTACCGTACCTCTTCCCTGACCTTGCTGCCTTTCCCACAGTCGGTGACCTCATTTCGCACCTCCGCACTAGTGACACTCGCTACCGCGCTGCGCTTCCTGCTGAGATCTGCGCCAAGAACTCCCCCCCCCATGTACATCACCCTTTACTACATAGTCACCCGGCTCCCTGACTCTCTTCGCTTAGTCAGGGACCACTTCCTCTCAGTTTGCCCCACCACTCTCACCGTTGACCTCCTCGAGCAGCGCCTCCTAGCAGCAGAGAAGAACATAGTAGCTGTAGGAGCCTCTTGTGGTGACCCTCGCACCCCCGTCTTTGAGGGGTGTTCCCCCTCTCCCCTCTTACCCTCTGTTGCTTCTGCTGCTGCTGCCGACCTCGTTGGTTTCTACGGGGTCGGCGCTGCGTCTGCCCCTAGCAGGAGACGCCGCCCTGGCAAGGGCAAGGGGGGCAAGGGCACTGGAGGGGCTAGCGGGGGCGGTGGAGGTGGTGGTGGAGGCAGTGGAGGGAGTGGGGGTGGTGGTGGGAGTGGTGGCGGGGGTGGCGGCGGCGGTGGCAGCAATGGAGGCGGAGGAGGCAGCGGTGGTGGCGGAGGGAGCGGAGGCGGCGGAGGTGGCGGCGGCGGCGGCGGTGGAGCGGGTCGCGACTTTGCGCAGAGGAGTGGGTCCGGTGGTGGTCCGCGCCAGCAGCAGCAGCGCGGTCGTGAGACCCTGTCCCCTCAGCAGCTTCGTGAGTGGTACGATGCGCGTCAGCGCGGTGGGGGTACTGGTCCCTGCACTTACGTCCTCCGTACTGGCGACTGCGCTGGTGAGCAGTGCGGGGGCCCGCACTCCACCCACCGCTGCTTCGGCCGCCTGACGGATGCGTGGCGTCACCAGTTCCCTGAGGCGTCGGAGATCCCTCGCTGGGGAGATCTGTCTAGGGCGGGG